TATGGAGACATATTAGTTATGAATAGTGATGTGTGCGACATTTATTTAAAACTTGATAATATATTAGTTACTTGGCTTTATAAGTGAGAACATGTAAAGAAAGGAAACTAATCAACATTTTCTAGACTTCATGTGGAAGATTTAAGTTTGTTGTTGTCAAGTCAGAAATCTTTTTCTTTGTGCTTGAAGAGCGTGATTCTCTTTTTCGTGGTTGGCTTTGTTTTCGAAAGATTTGATCTTGGGACACATTCTCCATGGTTACTGTTTTCAGGGGGTGAGTGCATCCTTATGACGTTTCGTAGGTTGCATGGTTTCGGATAGTGATTGATATAGGTGATTTCTTTGTTCAGTGGAAGAAATTGGATATTAAGAAATCGAAATTGTGTAATTCAACCTCTGACTTACTTGCACGCCCCATGGCGCTGAATGCAAGGTCGCAAGGTAAATAAGAATTCGGTAAGATACGTTAATTGCAAGTAACGGGTGTTTACTGATATTGTATGGTTATTACAGACCGATACTCCGTCGCGGAAGAAGTTATTTTCACTGGAAATTTGAACGTCACTAGCGATTTAATTTTGATAAGCGGGTAAGGGTGATATCATCGTTATATAGATGTGGTTGAGATATATAAACAACAATAGCTTGGCAAGCTCTGTCTTTATGTATAATTACTCGGTCCATATTTGCTCATCAATTTGATCAACCAAGTCATTTAATATCGATTCTTTGTTCTTTTCAGATAGCCCAAACGACCGACACGATTTCAAAGAGCCATGGAATGGCTGAAATGATTGAGGTAATATATTAATTTTGCTGTTATCATGTATGCTGCAATAATACATTTTAATCTAGCTCCGCTCTCATTTTAAACATCTTGATTGAGATGTCACTCGTACATTATCCTGATGCGAGCATTCGGTCCACGATTATTTTTGTTTCACTTAGAGATTACAAGCACTTCGGAGACGTGATCGGGCACGTGGGAAGAGATCCTATTCTCTTAGTATCAGCAGAGACAGCAGCTATCAGACAGAAATTGCGTTTTAACGCAAAGTTTGCGAAAATTGTCAAGATTACGGCAGTACTCTTCGCGGCCACCGGTTTTTTCCCAAATTGTCAGTCCGACTTTTTCCCATCCCAATAATCGGCACTTCCCAAACCACCTTTTTTTCTCGATAATGACTACGATCCCTGGGTCCGTCTGATCGACGAGTAAAAGTCAGCTCGGAAAGAGACCAAGAAACAGCAATTAGCTTCTATGAAAAGAATGAAGGCTCGTGACATGCCCTAAGATGAATATCGTGTTGTGCCACGTACTTCCAGACGACTGTCCGATGAAGATCGCCTTGAAGATGGTCTTCCACCTCGTAATACTTACGAGACCGCTGATATCGCCAGCGTCTTCGTGAGAAAGGATATCATCGTCGCTGTCGATCGAGGAGTTGCTAAAATTACCTGCAGAAACGCAAACCGTTAAACCGGTTTTAATCTATCAGAAATTATGATGCGATTATTCTAGAAGACAAGAAGTTGTCTTTTAAAAAAAAATACCCAAGGTGTTTCAACCAAATCGTGGAAGGCCAAGTGACTACAGAGGCTATAAAAGTGTCCCTCATTTATCTACTTAGACTGGTGAGAACAAGGACCAAATTCCGCTCGACTTGCTCAATCTATTCAATGTCTGGACTTATCCTGGATGTCGGAAAGCAAAGACGTTTAGGAAGAATTTTTCTCGCTCGCACAAACAATGAATCAATACATGATAGTACTTTTGGCTGCCGAACAGAGCAGTAAGCATAGTCTACAACATATCGTTGTTCTTGTTCATATTGTTAGTCTTTACTCATAAATATGGAACTCCCAGATACCATGTATAATGAAGCTATAGATCCTTGCGCCGAAGAGTGGATTTTTGATTGCGTGGTGAGTGGGGTCATGGGCGGAAGTTTGTGCTATTTAAGTGGATGGACCAAGTGTAGGGAATATTCATGAAATTAAACAAATTGTATAGGACTCTAAATGTCATCATTGGGAATGACAATATGAAAATGTGGTTATTGTATGCAAAATGTTCAATGCATTCCATTTCCGAAAATTTCGATAACTTCAAGCTGTAAGCGAATACTAGATACGTAAACTGTATTTTGAGGAAATCACTGAATGGAAATTGTCAGATGCTAACCGCTCATCTCTGTTGATAACTCCTAGAACCAGAGTATGCACTAGCGCTTAGTTAGCGGGCGTAAACGCGAATAGTTGCAATGCACACTATTTTGACCAAACCACGTCCCGTGACAGTTTCACACGTTAACAAGATGGTAGACAGATCAAGTGAAAATTGTATTGAGAAAAGGAGGATATGTAGGCATCGCTGTAGAACGAGGGTCTTTAATTGAGCTCTTGGTGATGACGAAGACGGTGACGAGGAATATGTATTACAAGAGGATAGAATGATAGTCTGCGATTAGAAGGAAAACGAGAGCGAAGAGAAACATGAAGATAAGGAATATTAATGGAATTGAATAAATTGAACAGGAACTCTGATAAACAGACAAGAGAATCACGCAATCACGGTTAATGGTGTTCGGCATCCTCGCGTCAGAAAGTCTGATGAATGCTTTGGTAAATACTTTAAGCTTATCCGATGGATTGGTCGAAGGAGATGTGGTAAATGAATTCGAGCTTTTCTAACTGGATAAACATATTAGGCGCGTAAAAGAAGTAACGGAAATATTATTTTGACCATCCAAAACAGTTCTTGAAGATGGAATTTTTGGATTTGTTGAAGGAGATTCATCCATGAAAGTAGCAGCGCATAACTTGCATGTGCCGCGACTCAACCGGAAAAGCCTATACTCTGGGCGAGCCTAGCTGCGATGGCCGATTGTCGTCGCTTATCCATATCCCGCTATCGTAAAAGCGGAATTGAGAAGTCCAGTGGCGAGATAAGTCTGTATACTAGCATTTTCATTTAAACTCAGTCCTTGAAGTGTGAGATAAGAAATCGAAGCGCAAGTCATTGCAATGTTTGGAAATGTATGTATTAATCATCATGATTGTCTGTACCCGTTAACAATATTATTTCAAATGCTGACTGTACCTCTTCGTACCGTAACTTCTAGGACCAGAGCGCGGTTCGGGGTTAAGTCACGTGAAATTTCCGTGTAGAAACTGTAAAAACACGAACAGCTACTATTCCGACCTGACCAACATTCCTTGACACATGGAATCGAGATACAAGAAGATAATTGTACGGTTAAAGAGAAAGAAGAGTTCTTCGAGCATCAATGGAAATACTGTAGTCAACCGGATAAAAAGAGAGGGTTACAACTTTTGAAAAAGAATGTTGTTAAATGTGAGGAAGATAATGTACTATGCATAAGGAAGTGTAGCCTACGGAAAAGTATAACATGAAATTTCAAAGCGTATGAAGAGATGCGATTTTGTCAAATGTGTAGATCGATGGCTCGGATGAATGGTAAAGAGCTTGGGGGAGGGTATGTTGAGATTTGTGCGAATTCGACAAAATAGTTAGGGAAGGATTGAAGTGTATCATAAATATTCTTGATTCTGTCTAGGATATCCGATTCAACGAACACTCTTTACGTGACAAATGAATGTAATACAGGGCTTCATTTTTTTTTCGATGAGTAAAAGAGAATTAGCGTGGTGGAAAGTTAAGAGTGGCGTTAACCGCATACAGTATTTGTGTGTTAGTGACATACCGAAATCGTAGTTAAAGCTTTGCTCTCGTTATACCGCGTCTGCTTGATCATAGTCATTCCGTCGCGTACTGCTTAAGTAAATACGAAGACAACACGGATCATTGTTTCAAAGGACGAGAGAGCCGCGTCTAATTATCGGAATCGGATCTCATATACACCGCCGGCAAATGATAGTATATCGTATGCGTTACTTTCACGCAGTGCGTATGGGCTTTTTAACTGACTAATTCATATTTTGGTAACCTTTAATACTGTCAGGCAGGCATACAGTAGCTTTATTGTAGAACATTGAATGAGATCATTGTTGAGTGAGTGATTTGGCGACGGTGCGTTAGTATGCTATAATTACTTGATACGCACCTACGAACACTATCTCATCATTAGATCAGGATGCATTTCAATCAGATATATTACCATTCATGTATCTTTCCACTTGATTGGCACTTGAAACTTTGGTATTTTAATTCATCATTTACGGTTGTGTCACGTGCGTTGTAGCTGGCATTTATAAATGAAAAAATTTCTTTTCGGAGTTAACAACTGAAAAATTATCTTTTATATTTACTATGAAGTAAAGTAAGTATAAGTGAGAGAAACTGAAGCAATTTTATAAATTAAAAGGAAGTTCAGCAGGTCTTTTTTTTTTTTTGAACTAAGGGTTTTTTTCCAACTTGTTTCACTTTGCAGTTCCCAAGGTATTCTCTCATTTGGTTTCCCAACAGAGCGTCGCCACCCAGTTCGATAAAACTTCCCCCTATGCTCCCGGTTGAATTAGGAGAAGGAATTTATAAGCCGAGAGGCCTTACCAAGTGCATGAAAAACTTGAGTGAAAAAATTTACAACTTCAGGTAAGAATCGCAACGCGTCAAACTGAACCACCCCGGTAGGAGATTTAAATTGTTATTGCTTTACCTTGAGAATTAATTGCCAGAAAGCTACGATCTGTTGGAAGACGGAAGTTCCTGAGGTAAAAGACTTTTTCGCTACGGCGCCCTCGGGAGCTTAACAACTTGCAACAAACTTTCCAACTCAAGGTAAGAATCGGCAATTCGTCAAACTGAACCACCCCGATAGGAGACTTAAATTGGGTTCTTTGTACCTTAATGGCGCGGAAACCCTTCCAGCTAATAAATAAAGGTTGCTGGAAGACGGAACTCCCAAGGTAAAAGACTTTTTCGCCAAGGCGCCGCGCCTCGGGGGTTGAATAACTTCTAAATATGGGTTGACTGCAGGTAGGGATCGACAGTTCGTCAAACTTAATCACCCCACCCGGTATGAGACTTGAATTGGATTATCTATATTTTAACGATGCAGAATATGTTCTTTCGACTGACAATAAAGTCGCTGAAGACGAAACTCCCGAGGTAAAAGACTTTTTCGCTATGGCGCGCCTCGGGAGTTGAACAACTTTATTGTCGCCACATTGACGGTGTTACAAGAAAACCCACATCACAAAGTATTGTGGGCGAGGAGCAAGAAGTCACTATATAGTTAGTTAGTTCTCATAGATCACAATGCAATAATTCTTTTCTATTGTAAGGGAGTTGCCTTTATTTGTAATCTTGAAAATACTACACACCGTAGAAAGCGTTGGCAATTTGGGTAAATCTTGCCAATGAGGTTAATCATACAATAACCGGTGCGATTTTCTGGTTGTAAAAGCTAAGCAACTACAACCTTCCCAAAGAGCAGATTTTTGGTTGATAGCCTCGCGTAAGCTCACCTACAAGTGCAAACAATATTAGGATCATCTCAGCACACTTGATCACGCGACTCGTTATTGATTGCATTTACCATAAATTAAAAGTTTACATTTTATGGCGACCAGAGGATAACGTGTTACATTGTCTTCCACAAACAGGAAACCGCGTTTTGTCATAGTTCGGATTGTACGTGGGTCTTTCATCTTCTATATTAATATCAGAAATGGCATTTGATTAATTAATATTCAAAGTTTTCTTTATCTTGGCTGCATATGTGATTGGACTTGGATTTTACACACTTAGTTCTGATCCCATAGGTATTGTCTCGTTTCAATTCAGGCTAAATCCTCCATCATTCATGCAGTGGATGAGAAGGTGCATGCCTATGGAAAGAGCTCGGTGCTTCTGTCATATTCTTTATATAAAGTTTGGTAATGCAGGCAAAATTAAATACATCGCCTTTCTTCATTCAAACACGTATTACACTCGTCTGATTTTCCACACACCTTCATTTCTTGTAACTAACGCTTGTCGATTACAAAGATACCCGTTGTTATTCTACACAATTGAGTAAAGTATCCCACGCAACTGTTATATATACAGTGTTGTCCGAATGCGTCTTTCAGTTTGGTTATCGAGTTCCAACCTAAATGTGGTGACAAATCTTGCAGCTTAACAGTAGTATATATCAAGCACTGACCACTTTGCCTTTCCGTTGAATCAATCCCGGCGCCAGATGATAATGCACTAATCTGTGATCGTTGTTCAGTATAAGTGCCAAATAATTTATCAAGTGTCATATTGATAACGGCCTATCGCGTATCACAAACACGTATCTGTAACAGTCGACTATCTAGCGATCAAGTCTCTCTATTTTGTACAAGACCAGAATAGAAGTTAATGATAAATTGTGAATATGCTACATAAAAAATAATTTAAATACCAAGCAATTTTCAGTATTTACAAAAATAGTCACGATTGCTTATGCATAACTCATCACGTGACACAAGCTCAGAATTATTCACGTAAGGAGAATTTCAGTGAAACAAGCAACTTTGATCTTGTTAACATTCCTTGCCAAAAACACTAACGTATACTGTGACTGGGCTGTAGCTATGGACAGCTTTGTCGAGGGGAGCTCTCGAATACTGTCGGATCGCGTTTGATTGGTTCGAGGATATGTCAGTAGCATTTCAAGAAAGATCTTATAGCTTAATATCGAATTACCGAAATAAAGACGGCTGTAATTAATGTCTCTGGTTATTATAGATTTCAATTCACGTCTCAGGGACGCGACCGGATGTAAAATGAGGTCCGGCCTATTTTTTTTTTTGTATATCTTCTCCGATCCAATTCCTTCTTTTGATCTAAAGACGCTTTACTACGACAAGCAGATAGCAAACAACTTTAATCCCGAGTCCTCGACCCGGAACAAGATTGGATATGAGGACATTATAAAGGATACGAGCGACAATGTCATCCAAATTGCGATATTAACGCTGTATCCACGACTGGGTCGAACACTCCAAAATGCTGTTGGGTTACTAATTGATTACGAGGCACGGTCTATGCCCACTCAAATGGCTTTGTCAAACTTGCACGCAAAAAGGTTAGAGTTGATATGGATAGTTACGGCAAACGAGAGTTGAGTGAGTTTCTTCGGGTGCTAAATAATGATGAGCGTATGAAGAAAGAGGGGGAGGTAGGAAGAAGATGCGAAGACGAATGAGATATGTAATGTGAATGTTTCATGATTTTGTAGTCGTTGTGAGACAGAGGGAGCTTTGATATTTGTCAGCTGATACCAACTGTGTTCAGATGCGTCTGGAATTCAAGAAGGCATCATGACGGATTGTGAGTTTTATTTTTGCTAGTTTGTCTTCAATGAATGCAATAGCTTGGCGCGTCTGGATAAGAGAAATGTTGCTATATACAATTACGCTCTTCAACTATTATAGGCCACTTGATTATTGTCATTTAACACTACGCGTGGTATCATCTTTTCCAATAACAGGCTATTGGACGAGGGTAAGTTGAACGTGCTCTATTGTCATTATCATATCTAGCTATTTTATATATTCGATATCTTACTCATTTTTCTTTTCATTTTGACTATCCAGTTTTTGAAGATTGACAAAAAACGCTTCGGTGACATGGTATAATGTTCCATATGAAAGACAATGGTGCATCTTGCTCAACGACACTGCCAGGTGCATACGTCGCAGCTAAAAGGCAATCCATATTTACACAACTGTGTATTGCGTATCATGGTTCGTGCTTGGCCAAAAGCTTTATTTTTTACCAATCGACAACTGCAGCGAATACAAAAGTGTCGTATGAAATCAATCCGTTATATCATACAAGCAACATGTACTGTGCAAAGATGCTGATATGCTTGAGGAAACGAGACAAGTGAACCGACGCGTGTATGGGGAAATTTCTTTCTGAACGAAGAAGTGTAATAAAATGGTGGAGGCGGAAATAGTTAATGTTTTAACACAGAAAGAAGAATTTGAGATCAGGAAGTTAACAAAGAGAGATCAGAACATGGTATTGTTATTATGCGAGAGCTGTTACTATAATTTATAAACTACAAGCTTTATTAATTTAATTGTTACTCTATAGATATGATAGTAACAAAGTGTATGCTATGCATGTCTTTTGGGGGGGGTACTGACTTGTTCGTTATGACCCAGTCAAAGTTGATGGACTATATTGGATTCGCTCAGATATCTCAATTACAGAATAGTGATATCCATAGAAATTAGTGAGTGGACAGTAACACGGGGTCTGACTAGGTCCTCTGATTGCATGGTTCTAATAGGCTCTATCAACTTTTCTAGTATAATACCGTCATCTAATGTTAGCGTAGCGACGATACTCGCCTAGTTTGAAAGAGAGTACCCATGCCATCGCATTCCATAATGGTAACTACTCGTTGCTTTTTATATCTCATCATGCCGGACTGCTGAATAAACCGATGTTTTTTACTATTAGTAGACACCAATCGAACAGCAGGAAATATATATTACTTGAACGTGCTACGCCACCCGAAAGTCCGGCCAAACCACATAAAATTGTTAGGAGCATTTGTTTCACGATTCCTGCGATTTCTAATCCTTGATCTATTTTGACTTACACTTTTATTTTTCTTTTACCGCAGCAATGTGTTCGGTCCATAGTAAGACCACGGTGATTGGATTGTCTGTAGCATCATAGACTTGTTGGCTTCAACAGAAGCTATAACGTCCTCGACACTGCAAAACGAATCACCAGTTTAGCACTGAACCCGTTATATCAAATACGAATACCATCGTCACGTCATCTGCAGCTTTCGAAATGGAAACAATATGGTGAAAGATTTGCTAACTAAACACGTGGTTGATTGGTCTTGGAAGAGTAAGTTGGAGTATTGCATTCTATGATTGACAGCTATTTGATGACTAAATTTGGTGACATGTATATTATATAAATCAACCCCTACAGAATAGACCTGCTCACAACATGGGAAGAGTCCAGTGATCGAGCAATTGGCTGCTTTGAGAAATGTACTTTGTGTTGAGAATCCTCCAGGAGACTACATACAGAATATGAATAAGGTAGTTGCATTTATAACTTGTTTATGGAATCAGCCTTACTACAGGATGGAAGATTGTTAACCTATATTAGTAAATGACAGATAATTGATTGGTTATTGACGACGTATCGGGGGCAGGGAATCGCGTTTGAGAGGTCATCATACAATTCTGTTTGTCATGTGCAAAGTAATGTTACTCACAGAATGCGTACATCAGTCAAAATCTCTGTTGAACAAAGAAGCATTTCGAGGCATACAATTCAACGTGCATGGGAACCATTCAGAAGTGGCAATGAGGGTCGGAAGACCCCCCTATAAAAGGTGTACCTACGCTTTATCAGAGATATATTCTAGTTTCATTGCAAGCGACTGCAGATGAGCAAGAAATTTATAAATAAAGATTAGGAAACAGGTGTTTACTATTTTCTCGGTACTGGGCAGGAAGAAAGGAAAGAATTGGATGTAAGAAGTCATATTTCCAAAATTAGCCACTATAGGATTATGATTATTTTTTGTCAGGCGTCGATGCTGATATACTTGGTTTCTAAAATATAAAATTCACATGACGTTAGATTATTATTGTTATTATTATTTGAGCCAATGGAGTTGCTAATACCGAAAATTGCATACCTCCGACACGAAAAAGTCCACGTCCTGCTCAAAGTTTCTAAAACTTTTGAGGACGACAAGTTTTTTAACGGGGATGCAACGGGCCTTCTGCACCGTTGCGTAACCAAGTTCTTCGACTCCATCAAGGTCGGAATGTTGGATATATTTGATATTTTATGGGCCTTGAGTGATACCATATTATTTGAAGTCAAGATTTCGAATGTTCAAAAGCGATCTGTTATTGATAAATATTACAATCGTTTTAGTAATCACAATAACTAACATGTAATATACATATACACTCACTGGACAAAAGTCTACGTAATTTTTGTCGATCACATAGTAAAACATATGAAAAATCTATTTTTT